CAGCCACTCCCGAATTTCTCGAGAAAAGGATCGGTGAGCCATGGGCTGAAGAGAAAGGGTTCCAGCATTGGAAGGCCAGGTCATCTGCCTATAATTGGCAACTTGTTTCAGCAGTTGCCGGGTGCGAGAGCGTAAAGGCTCTTCCAGAGTCAGGCTAAGCCTGATGACTGCGTACACTTCATCATTGACATACCGAGAGGACCGAAGTACTGTACAGGCACGGAAGCTAGCAAGTGTGTGGCTAGCTACATCAAACAAGATTTCCCACGCTTGCTTTCTTCGTATTGAGAAGGCAGCGGGTTGGCTGGAATAAAAAAGTCGCTTCCTAAGTTTGCGCCATAACCGGAGACCATGTGTTGAAAATTCAGTCAGGCGTCTCCTTTTCTTTGTGGGTCGGAACCCTAGCGCAGTGCGTTTCAAACGTGTCAGAATGAATGGGTAATTTAAAGTGGGTTGCCAAGCATCAATGAAACAATGCTCGGAGATCCAAGCGGCTCGATAAGAGTGAAACGTGGCAAGCACTATGATGGAAAAGCGCTCAAAATTGCCTTGTGATTGCCAATATCGGATGGCAAGTTCTGCCTGTGCTTCTTCATTCCGATTCAGTTTGTTAAACACGGACATACGATTGCTTTCGCGCAAGGACGCAGAAATGGAAGTAGATCCGATGTAAAGCTTCGGGGATGGCTGCCGGTATATTTCATTGTTCTTAAAAAGGCGCCAATCAACCTCGAGCTTGACGTACACTGCGTTGGGGGATTGAAACCACGGCCACGTGTAAGTCATGGGGTTGACTCCCAACGACTGAAAACGGAGTTGCATGGTGTGGCCAAAAGACGAACTGCCGACGCGGCTGTTCTGGGACTGGTGATAAAAAATAAGGCATAAATGAAGTAGTCCTTGAGCCCAAACAATGGGTGCCTTGATGACGGCTGCACAGTGGTGTTTAAAAAACGTGCAGGCTGCACCTAGCTCCATACCGGCGATTGAGGGGTAACTTCTCCGTCAACACAGCTAGTCAGGCTGCCACATATTGAGCGGCGTGGATGACTGCTGAAAGATTCCGAATGTTGAGCTTGGAAGCCATTTTCTGGTCCAGTCCAAACTTGATAGCTGCTTCTACGAGTTCGGCGCGGCTGCAGTGCTTCTTCAAAAGGTCTTGCACTGTCTGGAGATGCTTTTTGAATTGGCGCCAGTTGCCTTTAAACATCGGCTTGTAGGCGTCAAGCCAGGCAACGACGTCTTCATCCCCTCCGCCTTTGGGCTGAGTCAAGATTTGCCGAACGGGAGGGTCCTGCAGTAGCTTGCTTCGCAGAGCGAGCACTGGAGGAGGGTACATCGGGGTTCCCTTCGGGTTGCCTCTTAGTGGGAGTGAGGCTGAGGCCTGCTGCCGCCAATTTGACTTTGGCCCTGTGAAGCTCGTCTTCGGCTTCGGGGGAAACGGGCAGGGCCTTCTGCTTCAAAACTTGGAACAGCTCTTCGGTCAAGGGTGCCATAAACGCTGCAGAATCCCGGTGTTTGTCGGGTGGATTTGCTCCGAAGCAAGCGCGGGCTGCATCGTCTATATTGACGTGGCCCTCCCGAATTTTCCGCAGCAGGGCTGTGACAAACACCGTTTCCATCAAATTGCGGGTCCACACAAGACCTTGGAAACGTCCGTTGGCCAACATGCGAAGGGAGAACTCACCTACCCCGCGGTGACACAACTCATACGCTTTGACATCTTCGATGGGGCGTCCCGCGAGGCCGGTACGGCGCGACCACTCTGTGGGTTGAATGGTGCGCGGATACTGAAATCCGCCGATTGCTGTCGTATCGAGAAATTCGTCATTGCTGACAAAAGTCGAGGGCAGTTTCACTGCCGGGGAACCGGAACTAGCGGGCGGCTGGGTTCGGAAAAACTCGGTCGGGGCTGGCTCTGATTGGGCCAGCATGACTGTTGCCAATCACGTTCCTTCCACTCTTGAGATTTCCATGTGTGGGAGTTGGGTCTTGCATTGGAACCCCAATCTGCCGCGCTCCAGTTAGGGTTGTTCCACCAATTGGACATAGCACCAAGTCCGAAGGTGGGAAGCACTTGAGCCGCTGGAAAAGCTGAGTCACAGGCAACTTCAAATTCAGATTGAGACAGTCGTCAGAAAAAACCAATGTCAAATGGAGTCACGAGGGGGGATGTTAGTCATCAGGCGGGCGACGCCGCAATTCATACTTACGTCTCTGGGACGTGATAAGTCAAAGGTGGGGCTGTGCGGCCGTAGGCTTTGCGAGGGGATCAGCCCTCAATTTTCATCAGCTACGCGGGCGATGGCAGACCCATGTCTTGTCGTGGCGATCAGGCCAAGAGTCCAATCTGCTGTAGCCCGATCGGGGGCTTCATCAACACTCGCGAGCCGTACAGGGCTCAAAGATATCACCAGGCAACCCTGGCGCAGGAGGCCCGATGAACGAACTAACCTCCTGGAGTCACACTTGTGGTAATCCCCCCTCTTTGATTTATGCTTCGGCTCTCCTATGCGTGTGCTCGTGGCTTGTTGATCTAGTTACAGTCGAGGGTGCAGGATCATAAGCCGCAATGGCTAAACGGGAAAATGGTGAGACATCGGAGTAATGAAACTGAATTAATCGGAGCAAGGTTTGTAGCAAAGGGGCTCTAAACGCAAACAGCGCCAAAAAGTTCAAATGGGACAGCAAGCTGCGTCAACTGCGCCCATGCCTGTCCGTGACAAGCAGGTACGTTTTCACCCCGGCTCAGGGGCGTCTTCGTTGGCCAGAGTCCCCTGAGCCGGGCTCTGGCCCCCTGCGTGTCATGCTTCGTCTGATTGGAAAAATTGCGCAGGCTAGCTAATCTACCCCCCCAGATTGGGCATTGGTCTGGCGCGTGAAAAGCGCTAGTTCAAATGGTAAATGCGCCTGGCGCATTAAGCAGCCTGGTGCAGCCATTCCAGACCGCTGCGGCAAAAACCACGAGAGGCCCTTAGTGACAGGGTTGGACACACACACACACACACACACACACACACACACACACACACACACACACACACACACACACACACACACACACACACACACACACACACACACACACACACACACACACACACACACACACACACACACACACACACACACACACACACACACACACACACACACACACACACACACACACACACACACACACACACACACACACACACACACACACACACACACACACACACACACACACACACACACACACACACACACACACACACACACACACACACACACACACACACACACACACACACACACACACACACACACACACACACACACACACACACACACACACACACACACACACACACACACACACACACACACACACACACACACACACACACACACACACACACACACACACACACACACACACACACACACACACACACACACACACACACACACACACACACACACACACACACACACACACACACACACACACACACACACACACACACACACACACACACACACACACACACACACACACACACACACACACACACACACACACACACACACACACACACACACACACACACACACACACACACACACACACACACACACACACACACACACACACACACACACACACACACACACACACACACACACACACACACACACACACACACACACACACACACACACACACACACACACACACACACACACACACACACACACACACACACACACACACACACACACACACACACACACACACACACACACACACACACACACACACACACACACACACACACACACACACACACACACACACACACACACACACACACACACACACACACACACACACACACACACACACACACACACACACACACACACACACACACACACACACACACACACACACACACACACACACACACACACACACACACACACACACACACACACACACACACACGCGCGAGCGCGCGCACACACCCATGTGCATGCGCACGTGCACGCACACGCGAGCGCGCACGCCCATGTGCATGCGCACGTGCACGCACACGCGAGCGCGCACACACACACATGTGCATGCGCACGTGCACGCACACGCGAGCGCGCACGCCCATGTGCATGCGCACGTGTACGCACACGCGAGCGCGCACACACCCATGTGCATGCGCACGTGCACGCACACGCGAGCGCGCGCGCACGCCCATGTGCATGTGCACGTGCACGCACACGCGAGCGCGCACACCCATGTGCATGCGCACGTGCACACGCGAGCGCGCACACCCACGTGCACGCACACGCGAACGCTCACGCCCATGTGCATGCGCACGTGCACGCACACGCGAGCGCGCACACCCATGTGCATGCGCACGTGCACGCACACGCGAGCGCGCACGCACACCCCGCCAGTCTGCCTATGTTATGCGTTTCGAGCTCACTGACCTGGGTGTAAAACGAAGGAACGTATGGTCCGGAAACTTGGGGACCCAACGGATACATGAGGTTCTGGAATTGTTGTAAAGAACTGCAAGTGAATATTGGATACTCTTTTTTGCTTCTCTTTTTTTTCTACATGGGGTCTTCACATCTTTTCATTTTGCAGTTCACCGCGCTTGGCCGTGTCCCATGTTTGGGGTTGACGCTCACGGATTTCCCCACAACTCTGTGGGCTAGTCGGTCATAATTGAAGCCCGAATTGAAGTGTTGCCAGGGGTCCCTATACTTCCCTTTCGGTTTGGCACATTACCTCAGACCTTGGGTGATATTTCCTTTTTAGGTACCCCAGAACCACCATAAACGAATGAACCATCGTTTTGATTTGGTTCAGAACCATCCTTTTGTTTTTTCTGTGGCGCCTCCCCCCCCTCGCCCAACCCCCCTCCCCTCCCTGAATCCAACCCCTCAACTCTGCGGCCCTGAAGCTCCGCCGTGCGGGCCTTTTCGCCCGCGCCTTGCGCGCCCGGAGCGAGGCCGGCGCCGGCGTCGGGCGCCTCGCCCCGGCCCTCGGAGGTGTCCTTCACAATGCGCGGGCGCCGAGGCGCGCAAGGCAAGCTTTGGGCAGGGGAGACGCGGTGAGATGGGGTGAGATGGGGTGAGATGGGGTGAGATGAGACGGGGTGAGGGGGGGGGGTGAGATGGGGTGTCTGAAAAAGAACTGGCAATGGGTCAAAAATTGGGTAACCCCAACATGGATCCTTGGAAAATGGAACCAAGGTAGGCAAAGTTTGACCCCTTCCCAAGTCAGGAGTCTGATTTTATCATTTTTCCCATTCTTTTTTGGGGGTGACACGCTGGAGCCAGCTTTTTGGCGCTCGGGCAAACGGTTTCAGCCCCCCGGGTTTTGCCAAGAGGAGGTTATTGAAAGATAGCGAAGGATGCCCCGGGCATGTTGGCTTTTGGTCGCCCAAAACATCATCTTAAAACAAGTGCAAGTCCAGGCCAGACCCTTGGCCTTGAAACGGGGAACCGGCAAGATGTTGCTTAAGAAGGAAAGGGTTGAAGCATGTTTAGAATCAAGGAGCGTGTTGGGTGCGCTCGGGACCTCTTGGGATTTCGTGTTTCCTGTTAAGCCCGCTATGAGAGACCCTGTGCAGATGCCCAAATTGGTCAATCTTTCTCACCGCTTAGGGCGGGATGTGGTTGAATCAAAGGAATTCGAATCCACAGCCGCCAAGCAGGCTGTAAAAACCCAGTAATCAAGGGAACCAGGGGACGTTGATGGTCCCTAGGCACGAACCGGTTCCACCTGCAATGGCTCCCCTGGCGGCACGACATGCCCGTCTGATCAACTTGCCAGATTTGGGTATGGGTCAAAATTAAACCGCCAACAAAAACCGCAGGTTTTAGTCCTTGGTTCCATTCACCAGGGTTCCATTTTGAGTACTTATTTTGACCCACACCCATTTGGCTTCGAATCGCTTCGAGTCGCTTTGGCTTAGCTGAGGCCGCATATGCCAGAGGCTGGGAAGGATGAGAAGGAGAGCCCCAGGATGAGCAGGCCGGTTGGATAGTTGTGCTTGTCAGGCCACACAAGCATATATATATATATATGTATACACTCATACTGTTGATGGACGAAATCCTGCACTTGGTATTTACAGGGGAATCATGGTTCTATATTATATGTATATAATATATATATATATATATATGTATATATATATATATATATGTATTTATGCATACATAGACAACAGGTAAATTGTGTGTGTGTAGGGCGCACTTGACCACAGTTCAAGCTACCTCAACCGCAATGTGCAACAGATTCGCGAGTGATCTCTACCAGAATTGAAACCGCTGGAAGCTTAGGGGGCATTTATGCAACCATCACTGGGGCTTGGTATTCTATATTTGTGGGGTGGACTAAATATGAATCAGCATCATAAGATACGCCGTTTTTAGTGTGCCCCAGATGTGGGCTTACATAGGGAAACCTTCACCCAAATGGTACCAGGCTTTGAATAGGAACCTGTCGGTAGTTGGTTGTGCGCGCTCGAAACATATAAGTAGCTGACAACAGTATTGGTAGCCTACCTTTGGTTTGGGGACGAGAAGGGACAACCCAAGCTCCCTGCAAAAGACACGTGGGGGACACCCCCCCTGTCTTCTTGAAGAAAAAAAGAGTGTTTGTTGAGACAAACCATCTTTCTTCGGGGCCCGGTTTGGGGAATATCTTTAAGCCTGAACCTTTCTGGCCCATGCCAAACTGGTTGATGTGCCCTGGCATAAGGATCCTCTGAAATTGGACACGCCCACAGGCAACCAGGTGTTATGAATCGTGGGAACCCATGGATCCCAAAAAACTCGACCAATGATCAGCTCACTTCGGGTTTGCAAGCTCACCCATGAAGCTGCCAGAAAACTCGGAGTCCCAATCCATGCTCCGTTCCGACTGAAGGGCGCTGATGGAACATGGGTCAAGCCGCAAGGGCTGAAAGAGGGTGGGTCTGATGGGCTGAATGAAGCCGTAGGTTCATTCACTCGACCAGGGGTTCATACCAGGGGGACTATATGGGCGTATACATTCATTGATTGTAAGCACCAGGCAAAGAGGACAAACAAAAAGGGACACTGATGCGGAGCCCACTCGCAAGTCGAACACTCATAGTGAGTGACCGGATGTTTTTTGGAGCCATGAATACCGGGCCCCCCGCCGGGACCCAACCCTGCCAGAGCCCGGAGCTGCTCCAAACTCCATAGCTTTCGGAACAAGCATCATTCTATGGGTTGATTACCCATTCTTTCCACCCATGGTTCTTTGCGAAAACCGGCCGATTCCTGGGTTTCCGGAGGTTTTCTAGAAAGAAGGATCCCTGGAAAGAATGGGGAAGGTAGCACTAGAACCATTGAGAAAAAATGGGTGGGGGTACCCAACTGCGGGCACGTTTCTTCCGGCCAAGTGCGAGTTGGCTAAGTGGCGAAACCAACAAAGCCCCAAAATCCGCGCCCCAAGTCACGCAGATTTATTCGGGTGAGACCTTCGGCAGGTGAAAGTGTTGGAGATGTCCGATGCCCTGCCCCTTTTCCTGTAAAAACCTTAAGGGGGGAAATGGCCGTGGGTCAAATCCAACGGGATCCCATTTTGGGGCAGGTGCACCACCCATTGTAGTCTATTTTAGTGGGGATTGGGATGTTCACTGGGGGTACGGGCTTTTGACCCATGGCCAAATGAGCAGGACACTTGGTTCACTTTTTTTCGGTTCCCAACCGGTAAACTGCCAAGAATATGGTCAGTTACTCAATTTTCCACTGAAGAGAAATATCTCACCACTGGACAGATATTTTATCCCGCGGGTTTGCTCGCCCTTTTTCACGGCTTTTCGTGGGGTGGCTCGCCCTTTTCGTGGGTTGGTACGCCGTTTTGGAGATTTTTCAAGGGAAGCCAAAGGAAACACCACGATTTTAAGGGGAGCCTTAAAAAGGGCACACCCAAATTCGAGACTCCAGGGAACGACCCCGGTTTTGGAACCGGATCTGATTCGACAGGGATACGACCCTCACGCCCAACACGGCCCTCGACAGCTTAGCATCCAGCCAAGGCGGGTTTGTGGCGGGGGCTGTGGCTGTTTGATTGTTTTTCGCTGTTTGGTGGTTTGGCTGTTTGTCTGCTTCGTTCTTTGGCAGTTTGGTTTGGCTGTTTAGCTGCTTAGTTCTTTGGCTGTTTGGTTTGGCTGTTTAGCTGCTTAGTTCTTTGGCTGTTTGGTTTGGCTGTTTGGTGGTTTGGTGGTTTGGTGGTTTGGCTGTTTGGCTGTTTGGCTGTGTGGTTGTTTGGTTGTGTGGCCGTTTGGTGGTTTGGCTTTTTGGCTGCTTGGCCGTTTGGTTGTTTGGTTGTGTGTGGCTGCTTGGTTGCTTGGTTGATGATTTGTGGTTACAAACACATAGGTGCGTGCTTGATTTCCCCGTAGACTTCCCAGATTCGACTCGGAGGCGGTGGAGCGGGCACCCTTTAAAGGCACCACCCAACCATTCTCCGGGACACCACTGCGGATGGTTGCGAAGTCCATTTCGCACCACCGTTCAGAAGCCCTGGAATGATTCGATTGCCCCATCGTAAATACCAACAATCAATGGCTTCCCATGGTTTCTTAGGTGGTGCGAAATGGATTTCGTCCATCAGTATTAGGATCCTTGCCAGAATGTTGGACCCCATTCGGGTCATCCCAGCCACAAAATGTAAGCGCAAAAACCACGTGTGCATCCCCAAAACCACTACGGGCAGTCCATATTTGACATATATTTTTTAAGCGAAAGGTCGCCCCTTTTCGGGTCCGTACCTTCTCGCTGATTCATTGGGGCGGAATCGAAAGATGATGACCATGGACATTTTCAGAGGCTGGTGGACATCATCCCCTATAATGTTGACCCCATATTAATCAACCAACCGGTTTATTAATAGGGGGCTGGGGGCCCTCGAAAGATGGTTTGACTCCAACCACTAAACTCAGTTGGATCCCAGATTAAACAGGGGTTGATGAATATGGGGTCAACATGATATGATTGACACCCAGCTCTCCCAGAGGTCTCACAGAGGCTTCAACTCGAGTCTCGAAAAACCGCCATTCACGGTACCTCCGCTTGTTGCCCGGGCGCTCGGCCTTGAAGCGGCCCAGCACGTTGCAGGGATTGCATCCATGGATGAAAAGGTGTGGGTTTACGCCAGGGGCTGGGTGAAAACGGTCATTTTTTGTTGTAGGCAATCTTCCTTCCTTCCTTCCTTCCTTCCTTCCTTTCTTTCTTTCTTTCTTTCTTTCTTTCTTTCTTTCTTGCTTTCTTTTTTCTTTCTTGCTTTCTTTCTTTTTTCTTTCTTGCTTTCTTACATACATGCATGCATACATACATACGCATACACACGCGCTTGTAAGAATACGCATACACATGCTAGTGAACATATCTTGATCACAAGGTCCGATGGTGGGTTGGTGATCAAGCGTCAGGTGGAAAAGACACTTCCCGAAGGTTGCTCCCCATGGTTCTAGGCTCCAAGTGCATGCTGCATGCCCTGAACAATGATTAGCATTTTTTTGTCAAAACCATTTTTTGCTGACATGCCCTGCATTCAAACATCTTGGAAGCTGACAAGGTTCGACAGTCGCTTCTTGAGACGGCCAACTCGACTTCATTGGAACGATCGTACCAAGGACTCATCGCTGCACGTGTCGACTCCGCTTATTCCTCAGCGCTTCCTTTGGGACTGGAGTTGACTCGTGGCCATGCGTCTCAGTTCACTGCAGGCGAAGCCCCTAATGACGGATCTAAGTAGAACCCGTCCCATTGGGGGGGTGTTCCCTCCAAAAGTGAATCCCGAAAAGGGGACACCCCCCTATTAACCAACCTGGGGTTTATTAATCCGGGGTCAACATTATGCAAACCCAATTTCACTGCTTGAGTAGGCTTGATCGGACGCTTCCTCCCTGTTTGCTTTGTTGGTCGTTTTTGCCGGCGGAAAGTCACGGGGACGCCGCCGAACCCCCGGGGCTCGAACACGCCAGGCGACAGTCCGCGGCAGGTGCGCTTCCGCTCGACCATCATAGAGTGCGAGGCGCTTGCGTAGTAAATACCTTAAGGCCTTCCCAGTGAAACCCGGGCAAGCCATAGGTAACCAAGGTGTTTTTTTTGAGGTAACCATACCAGGTTGCCGATTGTGGTAGCTGGAAGCACTGGGCTTGTGTGAATAATGCTGGAGCCCGCGATGTTTGTTTACAGGGCCTTCCTTTGGCTTCTAAAGGGAAACGGTTGTTCAGGCAATGCCCCCTGGCGCGGCGGGTTCTTCGAGCTCCAAATATGGCACTTTTTAAAGGGTAGGTCGGCCACAGGTCTTTACCAGGTGAAACCTGGCAGCAAAAACGGAAGGCTGGGATTAGGTGTATCCGGCCTTTGTGAGAATGCGGGGTGTTTTCCACCATTGGCTTATCACAAATGCATCCACGAACCCCGACCCGCTTTGGGAGAGGGGCTTTATGCAGGAGGAAAGTTTTGGGCTCCGGGGCTTCAACAAACTCCGGGACCGGGCCTTCAACCAAAAGCAACGGCGTTATGCGTTTCTCATGTCCCGGGCTAGCTCCCTCGGTGGGAACCCCAGTCCAGTTCTTTTTGTTTCTTCTTTTTTTGGTGTGTGTGTGTAGTTGGTTTAGTGGTTGGGTTTCCATTTAACCCTAAACCAGTTTTTCGCTTCTAGATGGGAAAAAACGGACAGCCCACCCTGAAAGGTACGAAGGTCCCCGATTCTTCCCCAACCGGGCCACCAAAACCCGCAGCGCGGTCCCCGGGGTTCGTTGCGAGGTGGTGTAAGGACTATGAGAAACAATAAGAGGCGAAGTAGTTGCTAACAGCTTACTACCTTGACCAGATTTCTGTAAAAACCTGCTCTTTTTTTTAGGCCCTTGCAGCCGACACCTGTCAAGGCACCTGGAAACTGGGTAAGCGTCAGCTTCCCTTTCGGTACCGTGTTTGCTTGGGGGTCCAGCTGGTTTCGGCGGCTTCCACAGCATGTTGCAAATCAACATGGACCCCCCCGAGAAATTTGTTTCCTAACGGGAGATTCCGTTCCGGAGATTTGAGGTGTTTTTGGGGTTCCGTATGAACCAAAGCAGATTCCGTTCGGAAAAAACAGACTCGCTTTTATGGGTTCTTTCGTTCGGGCGCTCAGATGTAATACTGGAAATTGGAAGGCAGCCCCTCCTTCGCTCACTCTCCCTCCAACAATCAAAGCTGACATCTGAGGATTTCGGAAGACGGCTTTCCGTTCGGGAAGCCTCCTGTCCACGTCCATGATTCAAAGTAATTCCTATGTGGAGCAATCTGGACGACTCTGCGAGGTGACGCCCTACAGCGTGGTCTATGACGGTGTTAAGCCCATGTGCTTCGACTTCGACCGCTGGGGCCGTAAGGCGCGAGCTACTTTTTTTCTTCTTCGACGGATCGATTGCGTGGAGTGGGAGAGGGGGTGACGCGTTTTTCCAAGCAGCCTTTCAGCTTGGGGGTTGATAGGCCCAGATGGGCGACAAGGAACTAGGAGTGGTTCAGAGCAGCTTGGAAGGGTTGCGGCGAGTAGGGAGGGTTTCGGGCTGTTGGGGATGCTGAGAATCCCGCGTGAAATGAAGCCATGACTATATACCCATGGAGGTTGTTGGTTGGGGTGCGGTGTGATGTGTGGTGTGCTGTGATATGAGAAAAAAAAAATATAAGATGGAGTGGTGGTGTCGGCAGGGGGTGTGGGGTTTGGGTGGGGTGTGGGGCCCGCCTTTCTTGAGAGGCCGGGGGAATGCGAACCTCAATCAAAGTGACATCCTCTAATCGGGGCAGAAACCCACCAAACGTAATGTTAGGAACTTTGAGAGACCCAGCAGCAACATGCACCGTGCACCCAATGAAGGTGAACAAGTGACACCATGATCACTGCTTTCAAGCGTCGACGAAATGCCAGCGTTGTTTTTGTTTACCTTGCGCCAAGGACGCACACCCAGAGTTTGACTCATCTATCCCTCTACCCTTGAACGAATCAGGAAAGTATATAAGTGGACTGCAGGTCTTTCCAGGAGGACTCTCGTCCAGAAAGCCGTCAGCTTCTTGCTTGTTCTCAGCAGGGCATCTGGGAATGAACTTTCCAACAACTCTAGAATTACCTTCCCCATTCTTTCCAGGGATCCTTCTTTTCAAGAAACCACCAAAAACCGAAAGGAACCGGCCGGCTTTTTTAAAAGAACGATGGTTGAAAAGAATGGGGAATCAAACCCTCGAACAACAAGCCCAAAAGCTCACTGTGACTGCAGATCTACCACTTCTTCCCCAACGAGGATGATCCTGGCATGGACGAGGCGGGAAGAGTTGGGCGAGCTAGGAGTTCGCTGCTTGCGCCGCGGACCTGAACTCCGGGAGCTTGTGTTTGTTCGGTTGTTAGTGTCAACTTCGAATTGCCCCAGTCCGGAGGACCATACCTTCCTTTCGCAATTTAACTTTTTGCAGGGGAATGAAGCAAAGGGACGATGCAAGTCAGTAGCTGTCCCCTCTTTAGTGGGAATTGATTCAATTGGGAGTTTGTCTTGCGGTCCAACGGACGAACTCTAAGATTTGGTTTCTCGTTTCGCCCGAACTGAGAAACCTTCCTTTGTCTGGGAAATGGGTGTATCTTGTTTGGGATTTGTTTTGTGTAGTTTTAACTATTTTGCGAGGTCCGCTAAAAAGGAGAGACCCAACAAAGCGAGGTGCTGTCATTAGTTTATCTTCTTTCTAAGGTGGCTTAGATGGGCACCTGAGTTTCCTCTGCTAAATTTCGAAAATTGGTCTTTCTGTGGCGATCTGGCTGATTCTTCTTGCTTCAATTACATTAAGCCACAACGGGAGGACCTGGTTTTCCCTAACCCCATAGCTCACCTTTCCCTGATCTGGTGGTTTGAATTTGTGGTTCGGGGGCGGGTTGAACCATTCTTGTTGTTGTGATTTCGGTACACTTCCGCTGGCTGGGTGCCAAATGGCCCATCACGATTTGGATTCACCCCGGAGGAATCCAACAGGGGCACGGGTAAAGTGTGGGTATGCCTCGTCACAGATAGGGGAGGGTCGCTTTCCTTTGGTTTCCCTTTACACCAACCGCAAGAAAGGTACCCTCAAAAAGAACCTGGTCTGAAAATGTTTGAGACCCTAGGGCACGCGGCTATCGGTTGGCAATGACATTTTGCGAGCAGTGGCCTCCTGTTTCCTTCCATGGGCGCAATGCACGGCGATTGGGATGGATGAATCCCTGTGAATGCTCCACCAAGCTGTTGCAGCTCTTTCGCAGGTGTCCAGCAGCGACGACGACTAAAAGCGAGGACCAAAGCCAGGCCCACCGAACGCTGTCTCGCTGAAAAGGTGGTGTTTTTAGCATCTCCTTTTGGATGCCACTTGAAGGCCAGTTCCCTTTGGGGTGATTTTTTGTACGTGGAGATGTAGGAGACCCTGTGATACTGTGAATCCATCCGTGGTGAAATTCATAGGGCGGGTGCAGCCCATTCTGGAATTCTAGAATAGAACCGGATCACTTGGGAAGCCGCTCACTGGAAAACTTCGGGCAAAGCGAGCACACCTCCCAATCTCCCAGAGCCCATGTTCAGCGGAAGGCCTGCTCCGTCGGTTCCGGAAGGGTTCCAGGATCGCCTTTCAGAGGGCTGATCTTGTTGGCTGAGAAGTCGTTCTGATGCTCAGCTGCTGCAGCCCCGCCGTTTTTTTGTTTTCGGAGGGATACCAGGATACCCTTGAGGGAGAGGTTCGCATTCCATGCCACCAAGCTGTCGGGATTGATCTCGGAGCACTTGGGCAGGGCGCAAATTCAGTTGAACTTGGTGGTGCAGCCAGCCCGGTTCGACCTGGGCTTTTGGGTGCTTTCCATTCAAAAGGTGAAACCTTAGGTTGTGAGGTTTTGAGGTGGTTCAGTGGGGGTTTCCATTTACCCCCCACTAAAAGATACACTTTCAGCAGATCTGAAAGCAGACGGCCCAGGGAACGAACAGAGTTTCAGCTCCAGCAATGCTAGTGGCTCTTTCTGTTTTGATGACATGGTCTTTGATGAATCCGAAAGCAACTTGTGCGGTAAAAGCAAACAAGTACTACACCTAGACTGGGGGCTTCCAGCATGCTTGCACACAACCTTTGCTTCCCGGGTATTTGATCCTCGCAAAAAAGTCTTCCCACGAGCAAGGGGAACCCCCGGGACCTACGTTTCGGGTGCCTGGTGTTCGGACCCCCTCGGATCGACTGAGTTTCAGTTTTCAGGGAGAGCCCTTTTCGCTGAAAGCGCTGCCAATGGCCAAGTGAGCCAGCTGAATTGAGTTGCATGTTGCTCCCTGAGGGAGCGCGCAAAGGGAGAGGCGCCAAGTATGGGAGAACATCAATGGGGTCCAAGAAACAGGCTTCAGCTTGTGAAGGAACATCTTGCATGTAGCATCCAGAAGGAATCCATGTGTTAGAACCCATTCGGCTCTTTCGCAAAATGGGCGGTCCCCTGTTTGCATGGTTTTAAGGGGGAAACCAAGAAAGACACCAATCACCTGGGGTCCCCAACATTGTCAAGGTCCCGCGATGATTTTCTCGAACCACTGGGCTCTCACTGCACGAATTCGCTTTGGGCTGGAGTTTCCGACCCACGGGGGCCAGGTGAACCGCAGCCTCTCCCAAAACCTGGTACCCCTTTTCGGGTGGTTTTTAAAGGCAAGCCAAGAGGCAAGCCACAGAATTCCCCCAACATTATGCTTTTTGGGTAGACGAAATGTGAAAGAGAATCTAAAGATCTGATCTTCAGTACTTCTCCGATCAGATCTCTACCTCGTGTCGCCGAGTGTTTGGAGCTGACTTCATGGTTCTGCTCGATTTTAGGGGGATTTTGGACATCCCTGAAGGGGTGAAGCGACAGGCCAGAGCAAAGCTTGTCTTTATTGAGCACCCTTTTGGAACGGCCAAATTGTGGGGTTCCTTTGGACGGGGTGATAAATACTCAAAGGTGAAGATACGGACATCTGGGGTAGATGAAACCTGGGTAGATGAAGGTCAGTAAGGGATAGTCCTAGCCATAGGCAGGGATATCCGCCCTTGACCATTTTAACATATGGCCATGGCCTATGATATGGCTCCATTTTGGGGTGGATGAACATCCATTTGCCACCTATTTTGATGTTCACCAGGGGTACACAGTTTTGACAACCGCAGCCATGTTGGGTTAGCCGACCTCCTGGCCCCGCCCTGTGTACAGCGGGCTTTTCCATGCCGGCGCTTTTGTGCCCTGCGAGCCAGCCAGACCCATTTTTCGCCTCGCTTTGGGTTGGGTGAGTCTCTCCTTTTCTGGTGGGGAACAACTGGGCGGAGGTTTTCTGTCTCGGCGGCTTGGGGCCTAACTTTTGGGTTGCCTGACAAAAAATGGGCTGGAGGAGGCAATTGAGTGTCCAAAGCTTGATGACCAAACCAGTCCTCAGTCAAAGCCCCTAAGCGTGTTGCCTACCAGTCACCAAAGGGCTCCCAGCCTTGCCCCCCCCCCCCCCCTTCGCGCACAAACACAACATACCCACTTGTCCGGGAGAGCCCTGCACCTTCAGTGCTGGTCTATTTGGGTGTGTGCTCTTTTCAGGGTGGCTTTTTTTGAGTGTTTTCAAGGGAAACCAATAGGACAACCACCATTTTTGACCTTAAACAAGACATACCCATTTCAGCCTTTCCCAAGGGGCGTTTTGGGAGGCTTGTGCGATGTCACTGGCCTTTCCACTTTTCTTGCTATCGTGCTACTTTTGCGACCACTCTGACCTGTGTCTGTTAGTGAAAATTGAAACGTGGAATGGATACGTTACAGGTCCAAACTCCAATGAAACAAGCAAGGGCACACACTGGAAAGCCCCCATCCTTCAAATCAATTCAAACCAGAAAGGGAATGCCCTGTTCAGTACATTCCATCCGCTATAAATCCCCCTGGTGGGTTCGGGAGTAAAACACCACTGGCAAGTTGCAGGGCGCGTTTTTTGGGATCGCCGGCTCCGAACCTTTTGGCTTTTGCGCGACATGAGGACCGCATTGGAGGAACAGGGTTGCTGGTTATGAGGTGGGTTCAGGGCTGGTTTAGGGCTGGGTTGGCCAAGTCGAACGATGTGTTGGGATTTCGTCGGGTTCTCAGACTCACTTTTGGTGATGGCTTGGAACCACCATTTGGGGCTGTAAAAGGAAGACAACAACAAATTCCGTTGTGCAATTTAGGGTCCCGGTCCAAATCCAACAAGCAAAAACGAGCCGCCCGTTTAGAGGTTGCAACGTTGCGTCATGAAGCGCATGATTTTTTCGTTGGGTCCCCGCTAAGCCCAGGCGTCCTCTCCGGTGTGTTCCATATTTTTTCTCCGTGCAGCCTGGCCACAAGCTCGAGGGCGCCTTTTTTTTTGGAGTTGGTTCGCCTTTTCTTGTGGGCTTCAAAGGGACACCAAGAGGAACACAATTCTGGGGGTCCCCTAAAAGACACACCCATATTCCTTTTTAGCTTATTCTGATTAGACATAAAGATGGGCTTTGTGGTTTGAATGGGGAAACATGCGCATCCATTTGCCGGCCGGCAAACCTCGGCATGGGCATCGAGGGGATGGGGTGCCCACCCTTGGAGCCGAAGCCACGGCGCTAGAGCCGCTTCGGGACCGACTTCTTCTTCTTTTTTGACCCAACATGATGAACAAAGAGAATACATGTATGTGTGTGTGTGTGCGCGTTTGTTTCTTTCTTTGTTTGTTTGTTTGTTTGTTTGTTTGTTTGTTTGCTTGCTTGCTTGTTTGCTTGCTTGCTTGCTTGCTTGGTTGTTTGATTGTTTGTTTTTTTGCTTGCTTGCTTGCTTGTTTTTTTGTTTGCTTGCTTGCTTGCTTGCTTGCTTGCTTGCTTGCTTGCTTGCTTGCTTGCTTGCTTGCTTGCTTGCTTCCTGTCTTGCTTGCTTGCTTGCTTGTTTGCTTGTTTGCTTGCTTGCTTGCTTGCTTGGTTGTTTGTTTGTTTGTTTGCTTGCTTGCTTGCTTGCTTGTTTTTTTGTTTGCTTGCTTGCTTGCTTGCTTGCTTCCTTTCTTGCTTGCTCGCTTGCTTGCTTTTTTTTTTTTTTTTGTTTGCTTGCTTGCTTGCTTGCTTGGTTGTTTGCTTGGTTGCTTGGTTGTTTGCTTGTTTTTTTGTTTACTTGCTTGCTTGTTTTTTTGTTTGCTTGCTTGCTTGCTTGGTTGTTTGTTTGTTTGCTTGCTTGTTTGTTTGTTTGTTTGTTTGCTTGCTTGCTTGTGTCAAAGTATTGCATGCATGGCACACCCCATAATACTTCACCATGACACTTCGGTGCATGGCTCAAGTGCACAGAGGAAAATAGGGAACTGCTAGGGTACTTCAGGGTTGAGTGTGGTCATACAGTAGGAGTGTTGTTTGCATCACTTCTGATCAACTTGGATTTTTTCATGGTAGCGGAGCCTTAGTGCTCCAGTAGGACTTCGGTAGAGCCCAACTTTTGAGAAATCAAAGGAGGTCACTTAAGTGACTTCGACTGCACAGAAGTTAATGGCAGAGCTGGAGTCGGAATTCGGTGGTAAGCTTAGGCTTCCACTTCCGAACCCATTTAATGGTGACCCTGCATCCTGGGAGGAATGGGAATGGAACTTCCGCACTTATCTTTCTATGTTTGAGCCTTCAGTGATTCCCATTCTGGAAAGATCAGCAACTTCTGCTGACCCAATCCTGGATGACCACTTCGATGGTATCACAACTGATGTAGCAGCTAGGCAAAGACTTGTGACGTTTTCTAGGAAACTTCATTATTTGCTAGCCAATTTGACGAAAGATAGTGCCAGACTTCTGGTAAGGCAGAATGAAGGAGGCAACGGGTTTGAGACCTGGCGCCGACTTCATCGCCAATTTTCGTTACCAGATGCCACCAGACATGTGTCACTTCTGACTCAGTTGTTAGACTGGAAGTTCAACACAAGCACTTTTGAGCAAGACTTCAACGCCTGGGAGACAGTTAAGGCCAAGTACGAAAGGCAAACAGGAACTCCAATTCCCGATAGTGTACTTGTGGCAACGCTGATGAACAAAACACAAGGCGCGCTTCAGCAGCACCTTCGTCTCAACGCGCATGCACTTCAAAGTTACCAGGCCACTCGTGAGGTGTTGGTTCAGTACTTTAGGTCGCGTCACATCCTGACCACTTCACAATCAACCGGAGCAGCTCCCATGGACATAGGTGCACTCAAAGGCAAAGGGAAGCATTCGTACTTCAACAAAGGAAAAGGCAAGAAAGGCAACAAAGGCAAAGGAAAGGGTGGCTTCGGTCACTGGAACTTCATGAAAGGAAAGGCAAAAGGACTCAAAGGTAAAGGTAAACCGAACTTCAAAGGCAAAGGAAAGCAGAACACTTCGCAGTACAGCACTTCGGGCGCTTCGGCCTCAGGTAAAGGGTCCATGACATGCTGGTCATGTGGGACACAGGGGCATACTTCTCAGTTTTGTCCTTGGAAGAGAGTCAGTGCTGTTGATGAAACTTCAGGTGAGTCATTCGATGATTCATGGAACACTTCATGGCATGAGAGCGACATGTGGAATGAGTGGACTTCTGATGAATGGTCCATTGGGGCTCTTTGGGACCCCACTTCTTGGGAAGATGACTCATGGAACTTCGGCCCATGGGACTTCAGTGCAGGCGAGTGGAGTGAGGCACCTGAGACTTCGGGACCAGAGGCCCAACTTCCACAGGCACCTGCTGAGCCAAGCACTTCGCAGCCAACTGTAGGAGCTGTCACACTTCAAGGACCCCCTGGTCTTGAGAAACCTGTCACTTCTTCAGCCCCCATGCCTAAGGCAAAGGTGAAGGCTTCCCCCAGCATACTTCTCGCTGCAGTGACGTTGAATGCAATTGCAACAGGAGCCACAGGACACTCACTTCCTGAACCTGCTCACTCAGGCGTTTTCTCGTGTACCTCGACTTCAAGCGGTTCTGGTTTGGTTGGCTTTGCAGGTTGGAGTGACTTCTGTTGCATGGTTGATGTTGGCTTGGGCTTGCCAGACTTGCGTGGTTTGAGCTTGGTTGACACTTCGGACCAACTTCCATATGAGAGCAAAGCTCAGTCGGATTTGAGCGCGGTACTTCACAGTGACCTGTGCTCATCCACTGAGTGTGCAATGGCACCACTTCTGCATGATGGTGTTGAGGAGAACTGTGAAGTTCTTCACATGGATGAGTTTGTGAGCTTGACTTCAGTTGGCTTAGGTCACTTGGACGTTGAGTTTCATGATTACTTCCTTGAACAACACTTGGTTGCACACATGGTTGACACTTCGGAGTGGATTCTTTTCGACTCTGGTGCAGCGGCAAACTGCTGCCCCAGAAACTTCGCACCGGCATGGCCACTTCTGCCATTGACCGG